AGAGAACCTGACAGTAAAAGCCTAGGAGTTAAGAGGAGTAACAGATCCTAGAAGGCGGGACAGCCACAGGTGGCGTCCAGCTCAGCCCGGCCCCCTCCCCCATCCGGTCCTCAGTGATGGGGGGACCTGGAGGCCCTGAGGGAGAGGAACTAGAGGAGGGCGTAGGCAGGTCCCCGGCTCACTGGCTGGGGCAGGCACTTTGGAGCTTCCCCCGGGCCCAGCAGATCTGCCCCCAGCACCCAGCGCTGGAGTGTTAGGTAGTATGAGGTGATGTGCAGGTGTGTGGGGTCTGCTTGTCCGCTGCCTACGTTCCTGCTCGTGTCCCTCCGCCGCTTTCCTGAGCTGGGCCTGGGGAAAGCAGCCGTGATGACGTGTTTCCCCGACGCCGTCCTGCTTCCCCTTGGAGTGCACCTCCCGTTCTCAGAGGCGAGTCTTAGGACTTCATGTTGTCATAACCCACCCTTTCCGGTCTGCCCTCCAACCCTCATACCCCCCACTCCCCCTCCCCCACCGCCCAGCCCCCACCCCGCATCCCCTCTCTCCCCTGCTGCTTGGCAGAGCTCTGGGAGCGCTCTGCCAGGCCCTGAAGCAAATCCAGGAGACACAGACGTATTTGGTCAGGAGAGGGTAAGGCAGGGAGGGCCTGGCCCCTCGGCGCTGTCTGCAGCCGCCACTCTCCCCCGTCAGCCCCGAGCCCGCCCAGGGCCTGTGTGGGACAAGGACACACAAACAGAGCTTCACAAAGGGCACGGGAGGCAGCCTGTTGGTTCCCGACTGGCCTCACCCGCGTCACCCTCTGAGCAGCTCCCACGTGGGTGGAGGAGGCAGCGGAGCGGGTCCCATCATTGCCGCGGTGCTGGGTCCCCCACACCAGGCCTGGAATGGGGCTTTGGTTAGAGGACGCGGGGCGGAGAGGGGCTCACAAAGGAAACTGGGAGGAAGCTGGAGAGAAGGACCATACAGAGGGATGGAGCCACTCACTCTATGCCTGCCCTGCAGTGCCAGGTGCCTGGGAAGCATGAATTCATTTGTGCTCATGGCAGCCCCATGAGGAGGTGCGATTGTTATTATTATCATCCCTCACCCATGATGTTGTTGAGAGAGAGAGATTGATTGCTTGCCTCCTGTACATATCCCGACCAGGGATCAAACCCACAACCCTCTGGTGTACAGGGCAATGCTCCAACCAATGAGCCACCCAGCCAGGGTAAGGTGCTATTACTTTGGTTCCCATTTCCAGAGGAGGCAGCAGGGGAGTTCAGAAGCCACGGAACACACCACAAATGGCACTGGCATTGGAACTGACCCAGTACCACTCCAGAGCCCCTTTTCTCAAACACTGTCGGCGCTGCCTCGTCTCCTCCGAGCCTGAGCAAAGTCTACTCACATCACCCATGTTGGGGAAAGGAAGACAGACAGCAATCCAGCTTCCCCCTGGAGGCCTGGCCAGCTGGTGGCGGAGCGCGCCTGCACAGTCACACGAAGGCCGGGAACCCATGGGCCAGTCCCCAGAACCGCTGGCTAACGCAGTCGGTGCCAGCAGCGGGCACTGTTGGGCCAGCCAGGAACGCCTGCACCCTGGGCGCAGGCTACGACACCACTCACGGGGGTGTCGATGGGTCCCGTTCGGACACGCTGTGGGCGGGCAGGGGTGGGGGGAGCTCTGAACAAGTGAACTGGCGGAGGAGAGACCCGGGAATACTTTGGGGCCCTATTCCCGAGCTCTGGCTTAGGTCCACTCTGCTTTTAAAGGTTCCATCCAAACAGTTGAAGGGTCCCTGCCTCAATGAGTGACCAGCCAAGTGTGAAAGTGGGACATGCCACATGAGAGGGTTTTAAAGTCTTAGTAAAAAAAATAAAAATAAAAATAAAAAGCCTTAGCCGAGCAGTGCGGCAATAGCCCTGAGTGAGCTGAGGCCCACTGAGTCCCTCGGACGAGGAACCGGCGGGAAGGGCTCAGGGGAGACAGTCTGGGCTGGCTTTGGGGAGCTGGGCAGTGTGGCTGGAAGAGGGGCCCCTCAGGTGTGAAGGATGGGGTGTGTGACTGTGTGGGGAGAGGGGAATGGCCAGCTGTAGCGGGAATAAGCAGTCTTCCAGGGCGGAAAGGAGAGCGGCCGGGGTCCGACTGCGGGCGAAGCCCAGCGGCTGGGAGAGGCCGGGGGCTTTGCGGGCCCGGGCCGGTCAGCACGGGTCCTCTCTGAGACTGTGAGCACTGACAGAGGCAGAGGAAAGGGCCCGATGCAGACCTTCCTGGAGCGCCAGCTGGTGCAGGCAGGCGGGTGCCCCCGCCAGGGCCTAAGAAGGGGCCCCCCGTCACCCTGTGGGCCAGGGGGCAGGTGGAGAGAGCTCCCAGTGGGGTGACAGGCTGGTTCTCAGTCACTGGGATTGTCCAAAGCCCCTGCCCACCTCTAAGACTTACAGGGTTACAATAGGAAAGGAGGTGGTCATTCAGCCTCCCTCCTGCAGGGACCCAACAAGAACTGACAAAATCCCCACCGAGGGATGCATGTGCCAGGGGGATGGGAGGGGAGGATGGGAGGGGAGGGATCCTTACCCCTGGCTCTTCAACAAAATGTTATGGCCCGAGAGGGGGGAGGGATTTAGCCCTAAGCCACTCAGCATTTGGAATTAGTTGTTAAAAATACCTTTGCCCTCCGAGGAGGGTATGTGTAAGTGTGGGGACAGAGTAAGAACCAATTCTGGGCGCCTTGTTTTTCTTCACAATGTACCCACACGTGGCATTTCCTCTCCTGCTAACATTTATCCCGTCTCCAACCCAACGGGAGCCCCGCTGCTTGGGGAGTGTCTCTGGCCATGCGGGCCCAGGGGGGCCCTGACCCGGAGCTGGAAACGCTCCGTGCCTGTGCTGTCCACTCTGGCAGCCGGCAGCCACGGTGGCTGCTGGGAACTGGGCCTGTGGCTGGAGCCACTGAGGAACTGGATTGAAGTTAATTTAACGTGAACAGCCGCCTGTGCCTCGCAGCTAACACCAGAATGGTCCTTGAGCACCTGTTGTCTGAACAGTGATTTAATCCTTCCCGTCATCTCAGGGGACCTGCTACTGACCAGACACAAATTACCAAGTGTGCACAGCTCTCCCTGAGGAGGTGCTGTCACCCCCATTTGAGGGGGGAGAAGTAAGAAGACGAGGAAGCGGTAGAGCTGGACTTGAGCCTGGGACGGACGCCCGCAGAGGGGGCACTGCGCACAGGATTGGGAGAGAGTTGGAAGGTGGAGACAGGGCTGACGAGAAGCCCAGAAGATGTGGGACAGGACTTGGGGCTCTTCCACATTTCACTCTTCTTCTTGGCTCCAGGAAGCCTCCTCAGTCCTGCCCCCTCGGTGCTTCTTGAAATACGAAAGCAGAGGCCAGCCAGCTGTGGGAAGCTAGGACTCACGAGTGTGTATAAATTGGAGTTATTGCTGGTTCACATGTTCATCCATTCAGTGAAAAATATATTAAGCCTCGTAAGGATTTGGGTTCAAATAGTTCAGTAATACAGCTGAGAATCTGCATTTCAACAAAAGCCAGGCAATTATGGTCCACAGATCGCACTTGGAAGTTATAGTTCTTTATGTTTATAGTCTTTTATGTATTTTTTACTTCGTTTCCCAATTACAGCCAGAAGTAATCGCTTCTTCCTCCGCTCGTCCCTTTAGCATAGGGGTGTCGAACTCAATCAGAGAAGGGGCCAAAATCTAAAATCCAGCCTAAATCGCGGGCCGAATGGTTTACTGAACAGTCATAAACTGTCATTGTGATGGAAACGCAGCAGAGTGCAGTGATGACAGCGCGGTGCGGGCCACATTGCAAGGCCTGGCGGGACGGATTTGGCCCGCGGGCCTTGTGTTTGACACATGTGCTTTAGCAGATCCTGCACCTGGCTGCAGACTAGATTCCCCTGGAGCTTCAGGAAAAGCTGAGGACAGGCCCCAGGCGGCCAGTTGGCCAGAATCCTGGGTGGGGGTGCTCGGGCGTTTCCTGGGGGAGTGGACTCACGTGCAGCCAGGGTTGAGGACCAGCCTCGTCTCTGCTGCCTCGTGGCGCTCGGCCACATCCTGCTCCCCGTTTCTCATCCGTCTCCTTTTGCATGGGCAGAGTGATCTCCACGCTGCAGAGCGGTTTCCACTGAATGAAACCCTTTCCCCTTTCTCAGTTCAGCTTTAGGCGCACCAAAACATGGCCCAGGAGAGGCAGTCTTTTGCCAAAAGGAGACAAATGACTCTTCCTCTGGCCTTTCTGAACCATCCTCTTTTTGCTGGAAAGATCCAGCACAGCTTTGTGAGTGGCACCTCGTGTCAGAGGGTCAGGAGAGGGAGCACCGCGGTGAGATGGGAGAGCTCGGGCGATGGTGGGATGGATGGGCCTGCCTGGGTCAGCAGAGTCAGATTTCAGGTGTCGGTGCCGGCGGCCAGCTTCCGGTCCCTATGGCATGGACAGCACCGGGGCCGAGGGAACTCTTCCAGGATGGAGTTCTCTCCTGGAAGGATTCCTGGCACCATAGTGGGCAAGTGGAAACAGGCCTGGGTGCAGGTAGAATCATGAGGAAGGAGGATTTCTCAGGTGCTCCGTCCCCCTGGCTTCCCCTTTAATTACCAATGGCCTGGACCCTGCCCCTTCCCAGAGGTCCCTGCCGATATGCCCTTCCGCTCCCCTCCCCCAAGCCTGCTCCCACGGCACGCTAGGCCGAATAGTGCTAGTCAAGTCAAGTGTGCTGCCCAGTCCACGGGCTCTTGTTTGTTTTTCAATCAGAGGAGTGTTTCAGATGGTGGCATTCTAGCTGTCAGTGTGGAGTAAGTATTTCTGAGGGAAATGGGTTTTCTTCTGACTTCCAGGATCACAGAGGCAGGCCACTGTGAAATCAGAGGGGGGTGGGAGGGCACCTGCTTCGGGAGGAGTCACTGCCTCCCTGGAGGAAAGGGGGGTTCACCATTGGGGCCACTTGGGGTGCCTTTGAGAGGCATCAGCAGGGGCCTCAGGCACACCCTCTGCCCTCCAGATGTGGACGAGTGTGTGGAGGGGACCGACAGCTGCCACATTGATGCCATCTGCCAGAACACCCCCCGGTCATACAAGTGCATCTGCAAGTCTGGCTACACTGGCGACGGTAAACACTGCAAAGGTGAGGCTGGGAGGGCGCCCACGGCGGGGAGAGCAGTGCCGCTGGCTGCCCTGCCTGGGGCTGCCCTGCGTGACACTGGCCTGGGGAGGGGGCTGATGGAGGCGGGGAGGGGCGGAGCTATTTCCTCCCAGAGGGAGCGCCATTTTCTAATTTGCACAGACTATTTCACAGCCAGACACACCGGGCTGTGTAGGGGTCAGAATCACGGGACTGAGGCCCGAGGGTCCCTGACATTGGAGCCTCATCTTCAGGCCCCTACACCACAAAGCGTGAGGACAGATGGGTTCATCCTGGAAGCAGGCCCCCTCGGGAGGCTGTGCAGAGGAAGCAGCCTCTGCGTCAGTGACCCTCAGGGCTGACCAGGCTTCGGGGCAGGTGCACTCTTACTTCCTGGTGACAATGTGATTGGGAAAGTGATTGTGTCCTCAGGAGAGGAATCCCAAAGGCATTGATATCCTCTGATCCAGGACTTTTAGGAACTTCTTCAAAGGAAATTCAGAGAAATAACATACAAGAGAAGATATTCTTTGATGCTTTATGATAGTGAAGTAAATGGAAGGAGTCTAACAACAGAGAAAAAAACAAATGTTGTAGTGACACAATAGAATAGTTTGCACCCATGTACATTGGTAACTAGAAAGGCTGGGAGAAATATGAGAAAATGTTTGATTTTAGATGAAAATAGCAAAATGCAAAATAGTATGAAAGTAACTGTAAGTGTGCGTGCACATACACACACACACACTCACACACACTCACTCACATAGACAAGGCGGTTGACCCCGACAGGGCTGAGCCCAGGGCTGGAGAGCGGGGCACACAGGTGGGTCCAGCGGCCTCGCTCCCCTTTGCCCGCAGATGTGGACGAGTGTGAGCGCGAGGATAACGCAGGCTGTGTGCACGACTGTGTCAACATCCCCGGCAATTACCGATGCACCTGCTACGACGGATTCCACCTGGCACATGATGGACACAACTGTCTGGGTGAGCAAGGGGGAGGGTGTGGGAGGGCAGTGAGTCTTGTGGGGAAGGCGGTGTTTCAGCATTCCCCATTTCCCAGACAAGGCGAGGAAAGTGACCAAAAACAGTGCAAAATAGAGAACAAGGTCCGTCTCCCCTCTGAGACGGGCACGGGGTTGAACTAGTCCTGCACTGGGTGAGCACAGCAGAGGAGAGGGCAGTGGTGGGCGTAGCCCGTGGCAGAAGACAGATCCTGCCCTGCTGCTCACTAGGAATGGCCTTGGGCAGAGTCAGTCTCCGGGCACCTCAGCTCAAAGGGCTCCGTGAGACCCCATGAGAGAACATGTGTAAGGAGCCTGGACAGTCCTTGGCGCAGGGTGAGTGCTCCATCACAGGACATCGCCCACGCTGCTGCTCCCCTGCTGCCCAGCGCCCTCTGAACTCTCCAGCGCCCTCTCCTCGGCTCTGGGGCCTCAGTCTGACCTGACCTCCTTGTCCCAGGAACTGGATCAGAAAGAGGAGAATCTATAAGTAACTAAACTCAACATTAGTTTCTGTCATTTGCCGGCACCATGTCAGACTCTCCCCCAAGTAGAAAAACTGAGTCCCACGCATAGAAAGATGTGAGATGTGAGCCCAGGGTCCTTCCCCAGATTCTTTCCCTCTGGGCCACAGCAGACAGGGGGCCTGGAAGAATAGACCAGGAAAGGAGGAGAAGCAACAGGAACGGTACTAGAAAAGCAGGATAATTTGAGGAATTATTTGAGGTCCCATTGGCCGAGGAGAGCCTCCTGGTGACAGAGCTGCCTTCAAACCCAGCCACATTCCTTCCTTGGACCAGGCTTCTAAGTTTCTACTCCTTACCAGGCCCCGAAGCCCCGATTCCTGCTGGGCCCTTCTCCGCAGCCCTGGCCACTGTGGTTACCAGAGGAGAGCCCCCCTTGTCTGCCCAGTCCCGTGAGGCTCCCCTCGCCCCCGGGGAACTCCTTTGGAAAGAGGAGCTGCGATGCTGGGACAGGGCAGGGACTTGCCTGCAGGACTGTGAACATCAGCATCTGAGTTCTTTGGTTGCCTTTGACCTCTCTAGGCCCCGATTCTATCGTCTTGTTTCCTTATAAAATCAACCAGCAGATAAGGGAGTGAGTAGGTAGGGAAGGGGTCTATCTAACACTCTCTCGGGTTGGGGCTCTAAGTCTTGATCTTACCTTTGGCTTTTAGGGGAACCCTGAGTACGTCCTCCAGGCTCTGGGTGGCTTCAGTCTCCCCACCGAGATCTGAGGAAAGAACTTGGCCAGAGTAGCAGAGGTTGGAGTAGAAGGGAACAGAGCAGCAGCGGTCACCCACCTTTCGGACCTCATGGACCATTAGTGGTCCGAGGCCACCGGTGGGTGACAGCTGCGAAGAAGGATGGAATGTAGGATGGGGCAAGAGCGGGAAGACGGGTGGGAGAAGTAACAGGGTGGCGACAGGGGCAGGGACAGGGACAAGGCAGAGGAAAGGACCCCTCCTTGGCTTTCCCGACAAGTGCATCTCAGGCAGGAGCCTGCGGATCCGGGCCCCGTGGCCCTTGGCAGAGACGAGAGGGCAGGGTTTTGAGGCTCAACAAAGAGGATGGGGAGAGGGCAGACGAAGCCCTCAGGAGCCCAGATCCCAATTGCTGCTTGTGGGGGCCAATCTCCCTCATGCCTCCCGGGCCAAGGAAAACTGGACTTGGGAGGGCAAGTAGGGAGCATAGAGACAGTCGAGGCATTGAGGGGGGACCTGGGATGAGCTTGGCGCTCAGATCTGGGGGTGGTGATTTGGGTATGCCCTGGCAGCTCCTGCCGCCCTCCCCTCCCCCTCGCTGCCAAGCTCCAGACTGTGTTTTGTTAAACCAAAATAGGAGAAAGGCTAGAAATATGGCAGCAAGCCCAGGCATGGGGGGAGGGGAAGAAGGACCGGGCGTGGCCTGTCCCTGCTCCACAAGGAGTTGAGGCCACTGCCTTCCCCACCCTGCCTCACCCACCTCAGCACCTTGGCCATAGCCTCCCTGTGCATGGAGCCATGTCCCAGATTCTCTGATTCCCTGGCTCTTATCAGCACCAGCTGCCCCCAGGCCCTCGCCCCATCCAACCTCCACTGTATCTTCATCACTGTTCCTCTTCTCTGCCTTCTTTCCTCATCTCTTCTGCCCTCAGACTCAGTCCCAAGAGGCTCTTCACCTAAGTGAGCCATGTTCACAGGTCCCTCCCCACGTGCTCGCTCCCCGGCTCTGCTCTCTTAGGGTGGCCTCTTCAGGAGCGGAGCAGGAGCTGAGCGGTGAGAACTGCCTGGCCTGAGGCTGGGTGTTGGACTGGGGAGGAGGGGAGGTGTGTGTGCCTGACTCGTAAGACTGTGCCCACTGTTTGGCGGCTGCACCCCACGGCTCACCCAGCGCTCCCCTGAACAGATGTGGACGAGTGTGCCGAGGGCAACGGGGGCTGTCAGCAGAGCTGTGTCAACATGATGGGTAGCTATGAGTGCCACTGCCGGGAAGGCTTCTTCCTCAGCGACAACCAGCACACCTGCATCCAGCGGCCCGAAGGTCAGCCGTCGTCGGGCGGAGCCCTGCTGCCTGCACTCCCCCCTCCATCCCTTGGGAGCTTGCCTCAGTATCCCCTAGGTTTCCCCCTCGTCTCAGCTCCACTGGCTCCTTCTCTGTCCCTCAGCTGACCCACCCTAAGGCTCTGCAGATAGACTCTGTCTTAAAGCAAAACCAGGAATTCCTTTGGGGTTGGGGCCAGTGTGGGGTGTCCTCTATATCCAGAGCCGGTGCCTCTTGCTCCTAATTCATGGCAGATGGCTGAGCTCTAAGCCGCTGTTATGAGAGGGCCTCACAGATGCTGCATTCCTTGGGAGGGTCAGGCAGGAATAGTGGGTCTGTGTTGTCTGTTTCTGGGGCTCCCTCCCCACTAGACTGTGACATTTCTGAGGGCAGGGACTGTGTCTGATTCCTCTTTGTATCCCCAGAACCCAGTCACCTGCCCTGCACGTAGTGAGTTAGCTATTTGTTGAATAGAATCATGTGGGCGTTATCCAGTTACTCCACCTGCAGTTACTTATTTTCTTCCCAGTTTGAGGACATAAAATATGCATGTCCTATATTTATCTTATGTACGGGTCCTTCCTAAACCCACCCAGTCCCTGGCACAGTGCTGGACAACAAGCAGACACTAACTTTTGGTTGGAAGGAGGTGACCACACAGGTTTCCTGGAGGTTGGGTGTCAGTCCGAATGGCTCTGAACACCATCTCCTCTCCATCCTGTGGAATTCTCCCAATTTCCTAGGCCCCAGGTATTCCTTCTAGTTCCTCTTCCTCGTGGCGTCCCGAAGAACAGAGCATTCACCCTGCTCCTCTTCCGTTTTAGAAGGAATGAACTGCATGAACAAGAACCATGGCTGTGCTCACATTTGCCGGGAGACACCCAAAGGGGGTATTGCCTGTGAATGCCGCCCTGGCTTCGAGCTCACCAAGAACCAGCGGGACTGTAAATGTGAGATCCCTGGGATGGCAGCGGGAGAGGGGGGACAGTGAGGTGGGCGTGGGGCCTCAGCAGCAGGAGGTGGGAGGGAAAGGGAGCAGGGGAGAGGCAGCCCGACAGGAAGGCCAGTGACTGAGCTCTGGAGAACTTGGTACCCAGGGAGAAGCAAGCTGACAGGCCTCCTGCCCTCTCTGCACAGTGACGTGCAACTATGGTAACGGTGGCTGTCAGCACACATGCGATGACACAGAGCAGGGCCCCCGCTGCGGCTGCCACGTCAAGTTTGTGCTCCACACCGACGGGAAGACATGCATCGGTGGGTGAGGCCAGTGGAGGACGCAGTCCACCTGTGATGGGGGAAGGGGAAGGGTCCTCGGGAACCGGGGGAGTGGGGAGCACATGGAGCCCACGGGCTGGGCGCAGGAGGACTGGTGAGTTGAAGACCCGGACAATGCCACGTTGAGACAGGGACAGCTCTGAGAGACAGGTCTCCCCGGCCTTCTCCTCCCACTGATTCCACTGCACCCCACCGGGAGCGCCACCACACTCTTCATCCAGGATAAAGCTGCCAACCTGGGAATTGTTAGCAGAGGCACTTGCTGGCCAGGGTTGTGGCTGAGAGGGGAGGAGGATGGATGAGGCCTGACCACAGGCACTGCGGACCAGGTCAGACGGGCGCTGTCACAGCCACTGGCCCCCTGGAGCCGAGGGGACAGAGTGCTCTTTCCGAACACCCAGCTCTGAATTGGAGTTTTCTGACTCCAGGGTCTTTCCCTCTGTAGCCTTTCTCCCCTCCGCTCCCTCACTTCTCTCTCCACCACCTTCCAGGGGGACTCCCTCTGGGCTCTGCCTCTGGCCTCTCACCTCAATGCCAGCCTCCCATCCTCTTGCCCTGCTCTGGGGCCTTCTTAACACCGGATCCCTTTCCCAGAATTCCTAGGCCTTACTTCCCGCATCTTCAGGTACCGTGGATGCGTCTAACTCCGAATCCCTAGTCTTCAGGTCTTTCGTGAAGGCTGATTACTGTGTGCTCTCGGGGTATTGAGAGGTGAAGCGGGAGTGAAGGAAGGGCTGGCCAGGCAGGGGCGAGTCAGCCTGCGGGCACAGTACTCCTGGGTAGAGTTTGCCTTGCGGGCGACAACACGCTGGGGACGAGAAGTGTGCACGCAGCCCCTCTGTCTGTCAGTCATGACAGTCAGCTAACTGAACCCCGTTAGTCAACACGACTAAGACAGTCATGACACACAGTCAAGCTGCCCCCCATCTCACTCCAGAGACCCACCGGTCTCTGCAGACAGTGTGGCCTTTCCTCAGCACAAGAACGGGAGCAGATGGTCTCCCGCAGCACCTGCTCCAGAGACTGGCACCCAGGGCTCGAAAGTTCTCTAAGTAAACCTCCCCTGCTCTGTTCCCTCAGAACTAACTCTTCAAAGACCCCTGAACCTTTGGGGTCTTCCTGTTGCCTTCTCTAGGCTGATTGTACCAGCTCTTTCATTTCTCCTCATAAATCTAATTCTGCTTTCCACACCTTTCCTCCCTCTCCCCCCTCCCCCCGCCCCCCCAGTCTCGCAGGAGAACTGCATGCAGTCCCACGGGAAAGCTGCATGCCTCAGGACGGAGCGCGGCCCGTGTGAGGGTGGGTCCCTCAGCAGGTGGTCCTGGGCACGGCTGCTTTGGGAAATACCCTATTAAGCTTGAGCTCTTCTCTAATGCAAGACCCATTCTGCCTTCTAGGCCACGGCCAAGTGCGGCAGAAGAGAGCACACAAGGCTGTTCTAGAGCCCACAGCCATGTTCTTTCCATGATCCTCATCTTCGTCTCCAGTAGCCCTTACTGACTTTGCCCTGACCTCATTCTCTCCCGCCCTGGCAGGCGGGGGCTTCACTGTCCGGGGCCGTCAGGACACAGTGTAGTTGAGCAGAGGGTGGGCATCCTTTGGGACCTGGCCGCTGGAAAGACGAGGGTGGATCCCAGCTCTGCCTTTGGCACGCTGTGTGACTGCCCTCTCTGAGACTTCCCCATCAGTCCTTTGGTGGGGGCCCAGCTTCCCTGAGGATACCAGGCAGGACAGGCTGGGGAGTGAGTTTGGAGTCTCAGGCTCATCATATGGGGACAGCGGTTTGGGCCTGGGGAGAAGGGTGGGGAGGGGCCGGGGCTCGTGGGCCACAGTGGCTCCTGCCCAGCATCTAAACAGCTTTTTTACAATGTCAAACAGGGGAAAGGCGGCTAGAGCAGCACATCCCCCCTCAGGCCGTTTCTAATGGTAAATATGTCTGCTCTCTCCGCTTGCTCTCACTGGCTTGCTAGGGGAAAGGCTAACCCGCTGGGGCTCCCACTAACCGCATGCCCTCTGGGCCCGGCCTGGCTGCCCCGGCCTGCCAGCAGGGCTCCCCTGGCAGCCTGGTCACGGGCCCACCAAATGTCCTCTGAGTCCCCGAGAGCTGCCCAGGAGCCTTCGTGCTGGCTTTGTCTTTGACCCTATCACTCTCCTTTTCTCCTGCCCCTTCTTCTACCTTGAGCCTCCCCCACCTTCTAACACTCACCCTGCCCAGCCATCGGCCCTCCCTTTCTCTCCTCCTACACAACTGAAGACCCAGCAGCTCCATCTCAGCCCACTGTCCACCCTCCTCGGAGCTCCGTGCCCACGGTAGTACAGTCCCAGCATCCCGCATCTCCGCGCCCTCCATGGGGTGTAGACCATGGCCTTTGAGTTCAGACAGGCCTGAATTTGAGTTCTGGCTCTGCCGCCTTCTAGCTCGGCTGAGTCTGCCTTGACTCGCACAGGATCTCTGCTCCCCTCTCACTGTTCTGGGCTTGGGGCACCTCTTCTTATGCTAAGAGCGTTTTTGGGGGAACGGCGGGGCATGGAGCCTGAACTCAGGTTCCCTCCATTTCCTCCCATCACCTTGGGGAACCCCAGGAGAGACAAGGCTACATAGGAGAACCCACTGTGGCTGCCCCAAACCTGGGCACTGGAAGACCAGGCATGACCAGGGCCCCCAGGCAGTTGGCCTTCTATTATAGTACCCCAGCCTTGCTGGCCTCCTCAGTGACAAAGGTGGGGCCGAAGTTTTGAAGTCAAAGATTCAAGGCAATAGTCCTCTCTGGTGCCTTTCTCATTCTGACTCTGAGAACCACTCCTCTCTCCCTCGCAGAGGCCTGGGGATTTGTCTCTCTGATGGGAGAAACTAGGCCCAGAAGATGGCCCACACTCCTCACAGCCCCTGTGCAGGGCCTGGCATGATTTGAGCTGATGGTTTTTTCCTGCCTCACTGACACTCCTCAGCTGCTAAACCTGTTTTTCTCCTGCTCTGAATTCAGAAAATAGGGCAAGTGACCCATCCATAAATCCCTACTCCGACCTCTCAGCAAAGGGAAACTTACCAGTCCAGAGGGGGTGACAGAAGAGACAGCGCTAAGGTCCTGTAACTCTCTGACCTGCCTTCCTACCCCTTCCTGCTCTGACTCTGCTTCTTTTGCCCCCTCTGCTGCCCTCCCCATCAGGAAAGTAGAATGACGGAACAGCCCGCTGATCTCCACCCGGAACTACAATAAAAGGAGGGCTTGGGAGGAGCTGTGGGTAGCCTCGAAGGGGCTGGGAAATGACTGCCGTCTTTTCTGAGGACCAGCAGCCAGTCCTGAACTGGATTTGTTCTTAAAACAGAGGGACAGGGAGGCAGGGAAGGATGAATCGGTGGCCATCAGCTGTCTTAGGAATCACCAGGCTCATTCTCCCCAGGATTATCCCACCATGACTCTCACCCTCCAAAGAGGTAGTCAATGGAAAGAGGGGGGAACTCCTGTCTGCCCCTTCTCATTCCCTGGTAGCGAGTGCTCCCACCCTCCTTGCACCCTCCCTCTCTGCCTCCTCCACCCCTCAGCACATTCCTGCCTGACAGCTCTGGCTTGTACCTGCCTCACTGCTGTCCACCTTGTTTCAATCAAGTAGGGGGCAGGGACGTGGACTGCTTGGCTGCACTGTGAGGGGCTGGGGGCTGGGAGCCTCCGCTTACTGCTCCTTGTAAAGCACAGGGAGGCAGCCGAGGCCTCCCCTCTGCCCTCGGGCCTCCGTGCTCTCCGTCACCCTAGAGTTTGGGGTTCCTCCAGGCTGATAACCTGTTACCATCCCTGGCCTCCCTCCTAAACAGAGACCTGTGCTGTCAACAACGGGGGCTGCGACAGTAAGTGCCACGACGCAGCGACAGGTGTCCACTGCAGCTGCCCTGTGGGCTTCATGCTGCAGCCAGACAGGAAGACCTGCAAAGGTGAGGGGCTTCAGAGGACGGGCGTGAGGGGAAGGGGCTGAGGTGGGGACTGAGAGGGTCCCTGTGATGGGACCAAACCTCCCGCACCCCTGGAGGCTCCTGATGCTAAACAACTGAGGTCAGAACTAAGGCTTGTCCGCTGCCCACCTTTCCCATCTCTGTTCAAGGGGCACAGAAGTCCAGCCAGTCCCTTAGTGTCCCCGGCCCTACACCACCTTGGTTCCCCTACTTCCATTCCTGTCCCCTGCAGATCCTTAACCCTCTTGGGAATGAACATGCCATTTACATGTGTCCCTGGATCTAGAAGGATATTTGAGCCTGTGTGTGCATGAAGTATGTTCCATACCCTCTTATCCCACATGGGCAAGGCCTTCCCTGTGAACAGGCTCACTGTCGGATGGGAGCACTGATTCTGGAGCCTGGCTCCTGGGTTCGCTCTGCCTCAGCTTCCTTCTGTGATCCTGGGCAAGTAACTTGCATCTCTGTGCCTGAGTTTTACCACAATGAGGGTGCTTGCAGAAGGTTGTACGAATTAAAGGAGTTATAAATTATGAAGTACTTAGAACAGGCCTGACAAATGATAAACACTTTGGTTAGCTGTTATTATGGCATACTTTCCCACACTGGGCATCTCTTTCCTCTCCTTTAATGAGCCAGGTCTACGGGAAGGTTGGGGAGTGCAGGGCAGCCATGCTGAAAACAGATTCATCAGGGCTTGTTCCCTGGTCGCAGGAGGGAGGACTGGAAGGAGGTCTGGGCTCTTTCTTTGTGTCTTTTGGCCAACAGCTGGCCCAGAGGGCTGGGGAGGGCTGGGGCAGCAGGTCAGACAGCCAGAGTTGAGAGGTTTCCTGCTGGGAAGGACTGTTGACAGGTATGCTGAGAGTGAAGTGGAGGGCTGCCCCTCCCCCAAGTAGGGGTGCTTAGCCTGGGTCCTGTCTGCCACCAGCTTGGGGAACTTGACCTCAGGAAGGAAGCTGCTCACCCCGCCCCCCCCCTCCCTTCCTAGTGCTGAAAGCTGCCTCAGGCCTGAGTCTCTCCAGATCTCTCCCAGTCCAGCCCCTGCCTGGCCCTCTCCCCTCCCCCATCAGCTACCCAGCCTCACTGGCTGGCTTTTCCCCTCTGAAGAGCTGTCCCTTTGACTATGCACGTCTCTGTGCCATCTCCTCACCGATCCTGCTGGGCGCCTGTGGCAGGCGGGGGGAGGGAGGGGGGTGGCGGGGGGGGTTTGGAAATAAACCCCATCCTCCAGCCATCTGGAGAAGGGCCACCAGCAGCAGAGTGAAGGGCATGGACTAGCCCTGTTGGTCAAAAGCCCACCTACTTCCTGCTCCAGGCAGCTACCCAGGGCCTGACCTGGCTCCCCTGCGTCCCTTTAGAGGACTCAGCCTGAGGAAAGGTTGCTAACGGCACAGACAATCCCTGAACAGGGAAGAAATGGGAGAGTCAGAAGGGGCAGGCTCGGGGCTCTCCATGATGTTAGCGTGAGGGAGCGCGTGATCCTGTGTCCTTGTTTGTCCCCGGCCTTCAGCATTGCCTTTGATGTTCTCTACTCTGTCCTGCTTCCCCAGACATAGACGAGTGCCGCTTGAACAATGGTGGCTGTGACCACATTTGCCGCAACACGGTGGGCAGCTTTGAATGCAGCTGCAAGAAGGGCTACAAGCTTCTCATCAATGAGAGGAACTGCCAGGGTGAGTGGACTTGGGCCAAGGAGAAAGTCCTGGACAGGTTTGGGGTGGAGAGTTTCAAGCAGGCCGGAGCCTAAGAAAGTCTCAGACACTGTGGAGACTTTCTGCAAATTAGCAAATGTGCGCCTTCCGGACGGCCCAGCTCCACACTGGGTGCACGGCTTGGCAGAGTGAGGGTGGGTTTCACCCCAATCCCTATCCTGGGCAGGGTCTGACCATCCTAACCACACGTAGTGGCCCTGATCCAGAGGCATCCGGGCTCGTGGTTCCTGACTCCAGGGATCCAAGCGGAGGGGCCCGGGATGGGGAGCATTGCTGAGTTGCCTTACGTAGGGCTTTTAATTCAGGAGAGAGCCAAGGCCTCTCACTTGGGCCCTTCACCTGAGCAAGGGGTCCCAGGGCCAAGTCGCCCAAGACAGACTCTGGCTTGAATCCTTGCTCTTCCAGATATAGATGAGTGTTCCTTTGATCGAACCTGTGACCACATATGTGTTAACACACCGGGAAGCTTCCAGTGCCTCTGCCATCATGGCTACCTGCTGTATGGAGTCACCCACTGTGGGGGTAAGCCAGCAAATTTGGACCCTCAGCTACCAGGCCCCTCTCCCTCCTCACGGTTCAGCTGAACAAGCCCCTGAGTTGGCTTGTGGCAAATCCCCAGGCACACGTGCCATGTCTGCATCCATCGTGATGAAATGGGAGGAGTTGAGACAACAGGTACCAGGGACTGGCATCCTGCCTCCAAAATGTCTGTCTCCCCTCCCCGTCGCTTCCCCTAGACTCCTGTCCTTAGCTCCCAATGTGAGCCCCGCCGGTAGGTAGCAGTGGGAGGCTTTAAGAAGCTCATCACCGTGGCCACTTCTCAGTCATTCTTTTGACTGTGGACAGAGATAAAGAAAGGAAGTCTTAGGCTTGACCCCTTCTCAGACCGGTAGTCATCTTGAAATGCCTGGAACTCTAACCAAAGGTCCTTACCCACTGCCCACTCCCTGGCTCCTCCTTCTCCCCCACCAATGTTTGTCGGTGACTCCCTGCTGCTCCCCACAGATGTGGACGAGTGCAGCATCAACCGGGGAGGCTGCCGCTTTGGCTGTATCAACACTCCTGGCAGCTACCAGTGTACCTGCCCAGCAGGCCAGGGCCGACTGCACTGGAATGGCAAGGATTGCACAGGTGGGCATCGCCCTCTGCTGGCCGAAGCTGGCACTACCATTTCAGGGGTTCTGGAAAGCAAAGCATTCCATGTTGAGGAAAGTGAAGTAGTGATAGGGGTGGAGAGCGTAGCTCCTTGTTAGACACATGAAGGGTCCGGTAAATAACCTTTTATCCCTTTATCGGTCTCTGTGTTAGTTACAATTACAATTCTGCGTGTAGCCCGTTCTCTTCCTCCACACTGCCAGCTGAGGGAGGGTGAGGACAGCAGGCCCGCTCCTCCTCAGCTTCTCTCCCTTCCTAGAGCCTGTGAAGTGTCAGAGCAGTCCTGGTGCCTCGAAAGCTATGCTCAGCTGCAACCGCGCTGGCAAGAAGGACACCTGTGCCCTGACCTGCCCCTCCCGGGCCCGGTTTTTGCCAGGTACATAGGAGGGGCTGTTGGAGGTTCCAGGGAGTCGGGGGACTGGGGAGGAAGACTGGCTGTTCAGACAGCAACTCTGCTGCCCTTGGAAATGTCCAACCAGTGAGGGGGTGGGGGCAGGTCAGAGCTGTGACAGCCCCCTTCTCTCAGAGTCGGAAAACGGCTTCACGGTGAGCTGTGGCACTCCCAGCCCCAAGGCCGCTCCGGCCCGAGCGGGCCACCCCGGGAACAGCACAAACACCAGCCACTGCCATGGTGAGCACCAGCTGAAGGCCTGTTCCCACCCCACTCTCCTGCTTACTGACCCCGGTTTTTATTCATTAACCCCGACCTTACTCTTTTCTGGATCCCCTTTCTTTGCTCTGCAATTCTCCAGCCCGGCTGCCTTGCTCCCCCTTCCCTAGCATCTGATTGCCTTGGCTTTTGTAATCCCTCTCCTCCAGCCAAGCCCTGGATTATTGCCCAGCTTCTCAACGTCCCCCGCAGCAGCCCTCTCACACTCCCGGGGCTCCTAGGCTCTGCTGAGCTTCTCCCATCCCTCTAGAGGCTGCAGTGCTGGCGGTTAAACAGCGGGCCTCCTTCAAGATCAAAGACGCCAAATGCCGTTTGCACCTGCGCAACAAAGGCAAAATGGAGGAGGCCAGCAGAATCCTGGGGCCAGGTTTGGATTGGGGACCCCACTCCAATAGGTTGTCTGGCCATCAAACCCTTTCCACCCCTCAACTCTTCTGCTTAGTGAGATCGCCCAAAACCCACTGGGCCCTGAACTCTAGAAAGAGCAGGGGCCAGAGCAGATGTAGGCATAGAGCCCGAGGAAATCCCAGGGTATTCTCCTAACCAAGTAAAAGAGGAGGTAGAGGCAGGCGGAGCGCTGGTGAGGAGGGCCAGCCTGGGTGGAGGGTGAGGGCTGGGGGAGGACTTCGCCCCCCCAGGAGGGGCCCTGGGCTGACAAGGCCTTCCCCCAGGTGCTGCATCCTGCTCCGACTGCCAGGTCACCTTCATCCACCTCAAGTGTGACTCCTCTCGGAAGGGCAAGGGCCGCAGGGCCCGGACCCCTCCAGGCAAGGAAGTCACTCGGCTCACCCTAGAACTGGAGGCAGAGGTCAGAGCCGAAGAAACCACAGGTGGGCCTGGGAGCACTGCTGGAGGAGGGCAGGAAGGGAGGGCAGAGGTAGGGAAACCACAGGTCTCAACAGCAAGGGGGACGGGTGGAGCCTATACTAGGGGCAGACCCTGCCTAATGCCAAGCCCAGGAGCCAGCCCTCTCACCTGTAGCCCCTAGCTTTGCTCTTTCCCTACTGCTCACAGCCACTCTCCTCTCTTCCTCCTCTGGCTCATACCACCACCTGCCACAGCCAGCTGTGGGCTGCCCTGCCTCCGACAGCGGATGGAACGGCGGCTGAAAGGGTCCCTGAAGATGCTTAGAAAGTCCATCAACCAGGACCGCTTTCTCCTGCGCCTGGCAGGCCTTGATTATGAGCTGGCCCACAAACCGGGCCCGGTAGCTGGGGAGCGAGCTGAGCTGGTGGAGGCCTGTAGGCCTGGGCAGCACCGCGCGGGGGCCAAGTGTGGTAAGGGAGCTTGCTGGGATACAGGGGAGCATGGGAATAGGAAGACCCACCTGGGGCCTGGCTCAGAGCAGAATTCATGACGGCCTCAGTTGCATCTCTCAAATTGTGAGGCAGCCAAGACCTCCTGCCCCTCCCTAGTCCTGAAATCTAGGACAACAGGTGGGGCCACGACCCTCCTGCACAAGGCTTTGGCCCCTGATTCTTCCATGCAGAATATTCTGTTTCCAGACAGAGGTTCTCCTTAAATCTGGGGGAGCGGGAAGGGGAGTCCCAGGCCTGGGTGGTGGGAAATAGGGGGGTGGGTGGCTAGCACAGCCGACTCTCCCTCAGTCAGCTGCCCGCAGGGAACGTATTACCACGGCCAGACGGAGCAGTGTGTGCCATGCCCAGCGGGCACCTTCCAGGAGAGAGAAGGGCAGCTCTCCTGCGACCTTTGCCCTGGGAGTGATGCCCACGGGCCTCTTGGAGCCACCAACGTCACCACATGTGCAGGTGCCAGGGGAACAAACAATGCAGAGTGGGGTAGGGTGGGCACTGGGATGCCCATGGGCATGGGAATTCCCAAGGGCAGGCCCAGGCTCCAGGCTCCTCTCCTAGTGAACATCCTGTTTGTGTGCCTCTGTCCCCTGAGACTGGGTGACCCCAAAGGGACGACCAGGACCACCCCCATCAGAGTCGGGCCCTTGGTTCATTGTAGGTCAGTGCTCACCGGGCCAGCACTCTGTAGATGGGTTCAAGCCCTGCCAGCCATGTCCACGTGGCACCTACCAACCCGAAGCGGGACGGACTCTGTGCTTTCCGTGTGGCGGGGGTCTCACCACCAAGCACGAGGGGGCCACCTCCTTCCAAGACTGTGACACCAAAGGTGAGTAGGCTCCTCACCCCAGCAGGAGACTTCCCTTCCCCAGGCCCTTCCCCAGACTCTCCAAGCCTCCAGAGTAGACCCAAGTTTGCTGCTCCGCCGTCTTCCCCAAACCAAGAAAGGCCTAGCTGCCTGGCCACCCACACCATCCTGCTCCGAGGCCCCGTCCTGACCCACCGCAGCCATGAGCCTGGGAATTGGGGGATAAATAACAATAAGTTACCTTTGGAAAACTGGTGGCAGTCTCCCCAACACTACAAACGCGTTCTGGTGCTCAGCGCCTGAAAGAAAAGGATTGACTCTGTAGCCGACTGCTGTCAAGCTTGCCTTCCCTGCCGGGAACTCTGGCATGACCAGGAAAGGCTGGGACTCTGGGAGAAACTGTGGTGTCTTTAGTGTCCTGCCCATCCCATGTCCCAGAACTCTCACTCGCCTGCCACCTTAACGGCTACCTTTCCCCTTGCCTGCAGTCCAGTGCTCCCCTGGGCACTACTACAACACCAGCATCCACCGCTGCATCCGCTGTGCCATGGGGTCCTATCAGCCTGACTTCCGCCAGAACTTCTGCACCCGCTGTCCAGGAAACACCAGCACTGACTTCGATGGCTCCACCAGTGTAGCCCAGTGCAAGAGTATGTGCAGGCCAGGCTGCAGAAAGGGGGCTAGAGAGGCCGGGAGCAGTGGGCACAGGAAGAAGGAAGGTGGGAGTAAGCCAACAGGGAGCGGGCCTGGGAGGTGGATGGGCAGGGACGTCCCACCCTCTGTCTCTCCCCAACTCACTCAGGCTCGAGAACAGTTGCTGGGATGGGCCCTGTAGCACTCTCTCCCTGCAGACAGGTAATGGGGAGGCAAAGACAGGTGAGGTGAGATAAGAAGGTACTAAAAGAGCAGGAGGGAAGGTGGACCCAAAACCTGGAGAATGGATGATGAGCTAAGAAAGGTGGCTAGCTACCTACATGAGTCTGATTTCTACTTCAGAGCTCTTCATTTCCCCAACCCATTTCCCCACTGACTTCACTTCTCTTTCTTGCTCTGTCCACTGCCCTTGGCTACAGATCGTCAGTGTGGTGGGGAGCTGGGTGAGTTCACTGGCTATATCGAGTCCCCCAACTACCCAGGCAACTACCCAGCTGGCGTGGAGTGCGTCTGGAACATCAACCCCCCACCAAAGCGCAAGATTCTTATCGTGGTACCCGAGATCTTCCTGCCATCTGAGGACGAGTGTGGGGACGTCCTCGTCATGAGAAAGAACTGTGGGTGGCTGCAGAGTTGGGCCAGGGAAGGGCAATCCAAATCTGGTTGGGAGGGAAAGAGAGGAAACTGGTTCAGGAAGAATTGGGGCAGTGGCAGGGAGGCCTTGGGAGGAGAGAAGCGAACAAAGGAAAACGGTGGTGCTCATGGTTAGGAAAGGCAGCACTAGGACTAGAACTCCAGTGGTGCCACTGTCCTTCTCTAGCACTTTTGCTGTTCCATTCATTTAAATGTCAGATTTCTTCCACTTTGTGAGTGCCAGGATGTCAGAGAGGATTGTGGAACAAGCTCAGGGGGTGGGAGACCATATATGTATGGGGGTGGGGACGGAGCATGCACAGGTGACGCCTCTCAGCATGACTCCTCCTCCCACAGCCCTCGCTCCAGGAGGGCCTGGGGAGCAGGCCCTACTGCTCCCTGACATGCTGCTTGCCTTCCCAGCCTCCCCATCCTCCATCACGACCTATGAGACCTGCCAGACCTACGAGCGCCCCATCGCCTTCACAGCCCGCTCCAGGAAGCTCTGGATCAACTTCAAGACAAGCGAGGCCAACAGTGCCCGTGGCTTCCAGATCCCCTATGTTACCTATGATGGTGAGCAAGGGCAGGAGAGCCAGGGAGGTGGCTGAGAAAGGGAAGGCTCAAGGGCCTGGGGGGGAGGGGTGCAGCAAGGGAAACAGGAGGGTTCCCACCCCTTAGCTCTTCCCCTTGATTGACTTTGCAGAGGACTATGAGCAGCTGGTAGAAGACATTGTGCGGGATGGTCGGCTCTATGCATCTGAAAACCACCAGGAGATTTTAAAGGCAAGTGATTATAAATAACAACAATGGCCAACATTTAATGAACATGTATGTAACAATGTGCAGGCAACATGCTATGTGCTCATATGAATATTCTCATTTGATACACACAACTGCTCTGTGAATTAGGTACTTTCATCATTCCCACTTTATAATTTGGAAATATGAGGCACAGAGAATTATAGAAGTTTCCCAGAGGTTAAGCTGAAATTTAAGCCTTAGCCCACCTGACTGCAATACAGCAGTTCTCAACCTCTGGGTCACGATCCCTTTGGGGGTCGAACAACCCTTTCACAGGGGTCCCCTAAGACCATCAGAAAACACAGATATTTACATTATGAATCATAACAGTAGCAAAATTACAGTTATGATGTAGCAATGAAAATAATTTTATGGTTGGGGTCACCACAACATGAGGAACTGTATTAAAGGGTCACAGCATTAGGAAGGTTGAGAACCACTGCTGTAGTATTACCCACACCTCGGGGAAAGACAAAGGGAAGATGAGGAGATGTAATGTCTTCTGCATCTTCCATAAAAAAAATCTAGGGTCTGGCCACTGTAGCTCAGTGATTAAGGACCAACCTATGAACCAGAAAGTCAGGGTGTGATTCCCAGTCAGGGCACATTCCCAGGTTGCAGGCTCAATCCCCAGTAGGGGGCATGCAGGAGGTAGCCAATCAATGATTCTCTCTTATCAGTGATGTTTCTCTCCGTCTCTCTCTCTCTCCCTCTCCCTCTCCCTTCCTCTCTGAAATCAATAAAAAATATATTTTTTTTTAAATTTAGGGAAAATTGGTTATAGAAAGATGCTTTTGCTTAAGTCCCTTCCTTCCCTTACTCCCACAGAAAAGCAAATTAGCACAGCATTTCTCAGAGTTAATTCAGTAAAGACCTCTTTTTTTAAAAAAAAATGTCAAGGTCTTGGTGCCAGCCATTTTATTTTATTTTTAAAATATATTTTATTGATTTTTTTACAGAGAGGAAGAGAGAGGGATAGAGAGTTAGGACCAAAGGGTCCTAGGTTTGATTCTGGTCAAGGATACGTACCTAGGTTGCAGGCTCCTTCCAGCCTGGGCCCTGGTCAGGGCTCGTCCAGGGTGCTCAGGGAAGGCCTCTGAGAAGAGACCTGAATGAGGTAAAGGACTGCCTATCAGGCAATCGGGAGAGGAAGGTTCCAAGCCCCGGAGCATGGGAGCAGTGTGGCATGTTCAAGAACTTTGAGAAGGCCAGTGTAGTCAGCAAAATAAGGAAAATTTGAAAGGATGGAGGAGAGAGAACAGGGCCCAGATCACATTCAACGAATGGGCCATGCAAGGGACTCAGCTTTACTGAGTGAAAAGAAGCAGAGAAGTGTTTTAAATGGACATGACCTAATTAAACATTTTTTAAAGGCCACTCTGGGAAGAATAGTCTGTAGAAGCACAGGGTAGGTGGAAGCATGGAGACCAGTTAGGAAGCTCTTGCAAAAGTCCCAGTGAGAGATGATGGTGGCTTAGACAGGGTGCTAGCTATGGAGACAGTGAGAAGTGGTCAGACTCTGGGTATGTTTTGAAGGTAGAATTAACAGGACTTGCTGTGGTTGTGAGGAGTCAAGGATGGCTTCAAGGACTGAGAATGGAAGGCTGGGGCTGCCACTGACTGAGCTGTAGATTCTAAAGGAGGAACAGGGAGTGGGGGTGGGGATCCAGCTCACCTCTGTGCAGGCCTGTTAGACAGCAAGAGGAGCTGCTGCTGAGGTGAGGCGGAATCCCTCTTTCCCCTGCTGCCACTCACATTGCCACCCGTCATCTTTGCAGGACAAGAAGCTCATCAAGGCCTTCTTCGAGGTGCTGGCTCATCCCCAGAACTACTTCAAGTACACGGAGAAGCACAAGGAGATGCTGCCAAAATCTTTCATCAAGCTGCTCCGCTCCAAAGTGTCCAGCTTCCTGAGGCCCTACAAATAGTGCCCCTGTGCCCAAGACCCAGGTTTTGAAGACCCCAGATTCCTTAGTCCTCAGAGCCGGCAGCCCCCACCTCCAGATAAGGAACTCTCTCCTCTTTTAGAGAAAAAAAAAATCACTATATAGACTAAGAACTCTCCCTTTCTGTCGCTCTAGTTTCCTTTCCTTGTCTCTCTGTCTCTTCTCTCTCTCTTTACCTCTCTCCTGTTTTTCCTTTTCCTGCATTCTCCCTGGAAAAACCATTTGGTACTAGCTGTATTCTCCCTGAGGGGTACAGGAACAGTACTCCTTCCCTCCCCAGCCACATCCCTAACCCCTTCAGCTTAGAAGAACACTAGAGGCCCAAGAAAGAAGTGGGTCTGCTGGGGAGTGGGGAGGGAGAAGAGGGCTTCTGCCATTATAAGGTTGTGCCTTACTAGTCAGGAACCAAAATGCCCCCTGGCTGGGCCCCCCAGCTGGCCCCGAGGTGATTCTAACAGCCCAAGGTTCTGCCAAAGAAGCCTTTGACTTGCAGGCTTAATGCTAGCACTGGTCCTCTGGGGCACGTGGTGTGAGCTCTGGACCACGGGTTTGAGCTCCGGACTGCCCACACAGCCGCTTCTGGGTCTAGACAGCTCCTCCACTTCCGCCAAGTCTGCTTGGGTCCAATCCATGAGGGCTTACAAAAGGCCCAACCACTGGGCTAGTGGACACCCGCCGAGTGAGGAAGAGCAGCAGGCATTATCACGTGGAAAGTGCTGCTGTCCCTCCCCATGAGGAAGATTATATATATAGCTCTGCAGAACAAAAACCAGGTTCTATAGCATCACCAAGAAAAAGAAAAAGAAAAAAAAGGCAAAGGAATTGCATCATCTAAAGGACTAGACTACAGAACAACTGGAAGCCAGCCTCAAACCCTAATCCCTTTTCTTGTCTTCCCTGGCCCAGCCATCCCCTCACCCTGATACGAGTGCTCCCTGGGGGAGCCCTACTCCCCTTGCTAAGTGCCGTCCTTAAAGAAACGTGGCTGCTAAGCAGAAGCCAGCCTGGGCCTGACCCCAGATTCGGCTTTCCCTTGAAGCCTCCATTGGCTTGTGGGTTCCGCCAAAGAGGACCCCACTCTGCAGCCAGCCCAGAGCCACCTACCTCTGGCCCCAGGCCGTGGGCAGCAAGAGGAATGTGTGTGCACTTGGCAAGCCTTCTGCCACCCTGTCTACATCTAATAAGTGCAATCATTTTGAGTCTATGTTGTCTAGAGGGAGGGGTTTTTGTTTTCTGGATTTATTTTTTGGTTTTGTTTCTTTCTCCTGTGTTAGAGCAACCCTATTTATAGCTGCCCACAACAGAAGAGTATATATTTGGAGCGAAGAAAAAGGTTTTGAATCTCATGAACTCTGAGTGCTGGAGCATCTGATCTGTCTGTACTCCTCACTCAGTGGCCATTCAGACCTCCTAAGCTCTTGGTGTGGGTAACCCAGGGCTGTAACTCTGAGGCACCTGATGTGTAGGACAGTAGTTCTGGGGACTTCATGGAGCAGGAAGGAGAGGGACCTGTGTCTGCTAAACCAATCCTGCTATCCCTGTGCCTCTCCATGATTCAGTATGGACCTCATGATTTTAGAAGCGGATGGAATTGGTCAGTGATTCTCTACCCCGAGAGGGAAACCTCCATCTTTTCCATGCCTTCCTCCTGTTTTTCCTTGGCGTGCACATGGAAGAGGACCTGGACATACTCCCTGGGGAAGGGCTGACTAAGGGCCCTGAGGCCAGAGACAAGGCTGAGGAAGCCAAGAATAGGACAGGTATCCAGGCATGAAGTTGTTTGCCTGAACTTGGCCATTCCCTCTCTGAGTTGACTTCAAGCCTAGTTGCCTCAATTTCCATGCGTAAGCCTAGATCCTGCACATTCCATTGTCAATCCACTGCTGCCTGTAAAATTATTTTCCATTTGTTCCTTCTCATTCCCCCAAAGCTGTGGTCCTATTCATTGAAAGGCTACCAATTGACTCATAGTGTTTATTTCTAAATGACTGTTCTAGGCTACTGCTCCCCCAGGAGACTCAACACTAAGAAGCCTGACCTCCATCCCCTTTCCCCAATCAGTAGCATTTACTATCCAAACAGCCTTAAGGAGTACGTAGCCAATGTCACAGCTATATCCCCTCACTTCCACTAGCCAACACCATGGCTCTTAGGGCTGGAGTGTCTGGCTCTCTTCATCTCTCTCAATCAAAGAAAGTATCACTATACAGATCTAAAATGGCTGCCTCCAAGCAGGGAAAAGGTCAGTTAATCCATACTTCCTGGGATATGTCATAAAAACTGATTTTTTTATTAACTTTGACCATCTTCATTCTCCGCCAGAAGCTAGGATAACGCTCTGATTCCTCTCTTCCTACCATTTGCACCTCTCGTAGAAAGCTAGCCAGAGTGCTTCCCAAATTATGCCTTCAGGGCCTGGCTTCTTGCACTCTTCCTTTCCTGACACCCCATACATATACAAACACACTTCCTCCACTCGTTTATTCCATGGTTTCTGGGACCTGCAAATGATTTCCAGTTTGGAAAGTATAGGCCATGAGGCTTCTTAACTGATGTCAAGACAGATCTTGGGAGAACAGGTGAAGACCTGCTAATGTCCACCAAGTTGAATGTAGGTTGTCCAAACGGGGAGGCAAGGGGAAGGGGAAGAACCCAGACAAAGCTGTTCACTAAATCTATGGAAGCCAGCCCTGGGGCATCAAACTAAATAGACTGAATCAGGAGTCAATACTCAGGGACTCTAGGCCTTTTCGGGGCAGACAGAAGAGGACTGGGGAAGTGGAAAGACAGTGTAAATGGGAAGTCTTCAGGAGTCAGCCCAGAGGCCACTCTGCGGGATGGGTTTTTACAGGGCCACAATACTGTAAGGCTTCCCTTCTCTTACTACAAAACCTGCCCTGATCTGAGTCGGAATGGGAAGCCATTTCTGCAGAGGCTCTGAGCATCAAGTAATGCATATCAAAAGGAAGAAGTCCATGTGTAAGCCTAGATCCTGCACACTCAGCAACATGTAATCCCTTTGACTTCTCTGCCTCCCTCTTTCTGTATTAGACCAGGCCCATTCTCTAAACCTGAGGGAACTGTGAGTCAGGAAAAAAATTATCAAAGTCTGGACGTGAGCTGCCACCTGCCCTAGGCCTCCAAATGCCCAGAGGCTGACAGTGAGCTGTGACTGCCCTGACTTCCCCAGATTGATGTAGTTTGGTGGGGGCTCATATTTGTTGCTGAAAGTTCAGTAATACAGTCCTGATTTTTGGTACTAATGAAACTTTATATTCGAGAATGTTCTCCATATGCATATGTAAGGTGATTCTGGAATGGATTAGGTGGTCATATCTCAAAATGTCAGAAAATGTTATGGAGCATTCAAACTTCTGTATTTGCTGCTTAACCTCAATATAAGAGGCTCAGACTAGGAAGGGAGACAAAGGATAACTGACTATAAGCAGGAAATAATGTTAATCTGCTTGACTTCTTAAGCACGGTAAGAAAAAAATGGAAGCAAACAACACAAGGATGTCTTTAAATTCAACCTGTCTCAATTGTAGTACATCCTGTCTTGGGCCATTATTTGGACTAGTAACCCTTTAAAGAAATATATGATTACAGGGAACAGAATCCCCAGTTCTGTTACCAGCCTAGCTAGACAACACGGACTATAGCAGTATAGACAAACTGAAAACTTTATTCATTTGTGTGAACTGAACTGAAGTTTCAGAATAACCATTATCAACGTGGGAGGCTTTCTTTATTCCATGCAGAAGAAATCTCAAAATATTGTATTTATATCTGCCTTCCACTGTTGCCGATATAATAAGTATCTCTTACACAATCAACAATAAACAGTAAATGATGCAGTTCATAGAATATTTTGCACTTGGAGAAAAAAATGTATCTGAACTTGTAAAAAGAAATGTTTGGATTTTGTATTGTCCTTTTTTATTATTATTATTATTAAAATACTTAATGAAACTCCTCGGCCTGGCATCTTTTCCTCCATCTCAGTAGCTTATCCTAGAGCTGGAAAAAGCTTTGAGGACATAAAGTGTCTTCTAGTTTCTGGACTTACCCAAATTTTTTATTTCTCCACCTTATTCTAATGTTTTAGAATTTGAAAAGGTTTGTCCCTTTTGTCTATTTTTAAAAGCAGTATCAAAAATTAGCCCCTAAGGGGGATCTAGGGAGCAGGGGAAATTTAGGATATTGTTCGTCCTCATCACAATACATTTCCCAAAATCTAGCCAGGGCCATAAGTGGCTCAGACACCTCCCTAGTTAAGATGTCCCACCTGTGGCGAAGTACCAGCAATGAGATTCACCCAAGGTTGTGCTTTTTATGCAGCACATTCTATGCCATCAAATAGAATTATGAAATTTTACCGCCATTACTACAGGGCATGGGGAGCAATCTCCAATCTCATAAATGAATAGTCCCAAATTCTAGGTTCAGATGACAGGTAAATCTTAATTGTTGCAATTTTGTAATTCCTCGAAATGAAATTTGGGGCCACCAACTTGGAGCCATTCTCTGACTTCTCTCTTAATCTTCTTATATTACAAAAACACCAAGTCTTCCCTCTTCTGCCTAGGACACTTGCAATGATGTGCCAGAATAATGTATAGCCCAGAGCCAGTGGAGTATGGACCTGCTAATATCAAGCAGTCTTTAAAATAGGGTACATGAAGACTTTCCAAGGCAAGGAATCAATCTGAAGAGTTTTAAGGGAATGAATTTTCAGAACCTCAACTTTCTGTAGGGGAAGAAAATGGAATTGGGAGTTCAAGAAGAAAGGAAAAACAATTAAATGTTTGTATATTTTTTTAATGGGTGTTGGTGGGCCTCATATATTTAGAGTATTTGGAGTCCAGTGGCTACATTTAAAAACGAAGTAATGATTTTAGTTTAAAATGTCAAAACTCACAGTAAGTCAGAATTACCCTCTACAAGTATTTAAATATATGATGGAAAATATAGATATCAACTTAAAAATTAATAATGGGGTACACAGTTCTTCAAAATTCTTTTATGGAGTCTATCTTAAAAAAAAAAAAAAAAAACCTCTGAAAATCGCTACTCTATATGGCATATTGTAAGGGTGGGGACCAAAGGCAGGACAGAAGCTGCTAGAAATGATCTTCAATCACCACTCCAAAGTATTTTCCTCACCAGTTCTCCCACGTACCTGAAATTACCCACCACCAGAATCTTATTACTTCAAATGCAGACACTGGTTTTCTAGAGAGGTTTTTGTTTGCTTGCTTGTTTTGTTTTTTATTTATCTTGGAGAGAGGGAAGGAGAGGAAATGGAGGGAAGGAGGGGAGAGGCACATCCATGTGAGGAACATCAATCAGTTGCCTCCCATGCTGGCCTGAAACCTAGGTATGTGCCCTGAGTGGGACTCGGACCTGAAATCTTTTGGTGTAGGGAACAACTCACTCCAACCAACTGAGCCACACAGGCAGGGCTCCCAGAGTTTCTGTTAATTGTGTAATGGGAGAATGTATTAGCCAATCACATTAGGATCTGCAAGGAATGTGAGAAAGCACAGATGCATTTTTTATTATGAAAAAAGGTGGTAGGAGGACAAATTAAGACAACCTGAATTCTGTTCCCTCCTCTATTTCTAACCAGGAGTTGATGCTACAAGACAAGCTACTTATTCTCTGTGTATCTATGCAAAATAACTTGCTAAATGTCCACTGGAGTGGTCAGGCTGTTTATACAACAGGAGATATATATATAGGATTCATTACTCATCCTATATGATAAAACCCCAATATGCAAATTGACCAAACTATGGAATGAACAGTTGCTATGACACACTGACCACAAAGGGCAGATGCTCAACGCAGGAGCTGCTCCCTGGTGGTCAGTGTGCTCCCACAGGGGGAGTGCCGCTCAGCCAGAAGCCGGGCTCAGGGCAGCAGCGGTGGTGGGAGCCTCTCCCGCCTCCATTGCAGGCAGGTGGTAAAGAGTGAGGAGTCCTTGCCGAAACCGGTTTGGCTCAATGGATAGAGCCTCGGCTTGGGGACTGAAAGAGTGAGGAGTCCAGACTGTGAGAGGGATCCCCAGGGCTTAAGCTGGCAGGCGGACATCCCCCGAGGGGTCCCGGACTGTGAGAGGGCGCAGGCTGCTCTTAGGACCACCCCCTCCAGTGTATGATTTTCATGTACTGGGCCTCTAGTTATTGTCCTAATATATAAAAAGCCAGGGGCCATCATGGCTGAAACAACCGGACAGATGACTGAAAGCAGGCTGCGTGGGGTGAGGGACAACCAAACAAACGAAAACAGGCTGCATGGAGCAACATGGCCAGCAGGGGGAGCAGTAAGGAGCGACCAGGCTAGCAGAGGGGGCAGTTGGGGGCAACCAGGCCAGCAGGTGGGGGAAGTTAGGGGCGACCAGGCCAGCAGGCAGGTGAGCAGTTAGTAGAGGGTGCAGGCTAGCCTGAGGGTACCACCCCCCATGCACGAATTTCGTGCACTGGGCCTGCAGTATAAGAATAAGCCATCAGTTGTTACCCACTGCCCACCGAAACTGAGAGCCTAAGGAAACTGTGGCCCCAGTCCAGCCTCAGGAAATGTTGAGCGAAAACAAAGATGGGAAGAGGCAATGTCTAAAATGGAAGGAGGGGGCTTTCTGGTTAAGTTTTTCAGAGGGGAGAAGAGGAATAGGATGTCAGTGCCCCCACTGGCATGTTTAGCCACCATAAGCCGCAAGCTCAGTACTTGAATACTTCCCTTTCAATTTTTTAAGTGAAATTGTGATGTATTTGTTTTTTGGGGAAAGGGGAGTAGAGACAAAAGAAACTATCGATAGTTGAAGTCTAAAGGATAGAGATGGAAAAGTTTCTCACCTCATTCCTCCGGGCACTCAATTCCTCTCCTAAAAAGCAACCTCTACCAGTTCCCTATCTAACCCCTCTCCTTATTTAAATTTAACTTATTTAATTTTTTAAAACCAAAACATTACTCCCCTTTAATGTTCCCTTAGCTTTCTGAGCATACCCCAATCGTGGGAGGAGGGGAATAGTAAAAGGGCTCGGGTTCCTTCACCCCAAGCTAGGCTGCAGGGGGAGCAGCTGGTTTGAGGCTGGGGTGCGGTGAAGGGGGAATGAAAGTGACAGGACCCATCAGGGCGCCCTCCCTAAAGGGGCGAGTGCCTCCCGCTCCTCAGTGTCACCCTTTCCGGCAAGGAGCTCAGTACCTGCAACTGCTTCCGAGGGGCGCCGCTCGCAGGCGCAGGCTGTGCCCGCGGACGGCGCGCTGAAGCACTTCGGGTCATGAGGCGCGGCGACCTGGGCTGAGCCCGAGGCGCGGGTCCGAGGGCCCCCGCGCGGGCAGCGGCCCCGCGGAAACCGCTGCCCTCACAGGCTGCCCCTCCGGAGCCGCCTCCCAGCGCACCTGCCAGCCCGCCGGCCGCGCCGCTCCTCCCTTCCCGCCAAGTCTCAGTGGACGGAGTCCCCGGGCGCGACAGGTGGCGGCTCCTCATTGCCATAGCGACGACCGGTCCGCAGCCGGCCCGGCGCTGATCCGGGCGTCGTGACGTCACCACGCCCTCCCGGCGCCGGCGGAGGCCGTGCGTCACCCCGGCGGGGGCGGGGCTGCGAGGGGCACGGTTCGGAGCCGGCAGCCCGGGCTGCAGGGGCCCGGGAACCAGGATAGCTAGGACGGCGGCCGCGGCGACGGGGGCTCGGGGTGGACGTGCCCGGCATTTCGCATGCGGGTTCCGGGGCCAGTAGAGGCGCGCCGAGAGGAGAGGCGAGTGCGGCGGCCCTGGAACCTGGATCCCGCGCGAGGCAAGCTGCGCGCGGGCGGGCGGGCGATGGCGCAGGCGGGTTGCGGGGCCGGCGCTGGTGGCCGGGCCCGGTGCATGGCGGTCTGTCGGCGGAGTCGCCCTCGGGGGCTGTCAGGTTGGTGGCTCTGGGAAGAGAGGGTCCACCGCGCCCCAGTGGGAGGCCGGGCGGGCGCAGGGCCCCGGGAAGGTCCCGAGCCCATCGTGCCTACCTTCCTCCTGCGCTAGCCCGGCGGCCAAGCGGCTGGACGGCGGCCTGACCCTTCCCCACCCGGGTCCTGGCCCCCGGCCCCCGGCCCCCATCCCTCCCCTTCATTCCGCCTGCTGCGCCTCCCCCAGGACTCCCAAACCCCACCCCGTGACTGCGCCCGCTTCCACCTCCGTGGCCCCACACCCACCAACTGATCCTAACCTCACCAGGTAACCCTCAGTTCTCAGTCAGTGACTCTGACAACCTAGAAACTTGCCCAGCTCTGCGCAGGTTCCCACCAACTCACTGACCCCCTCAGTTTCACACAGAGATTCCCACGCCCCTCCTTGATGACCCCAAACCTTTTCAGTGACCCCACTGGTCCCGTGACCCCGCCCTTCCTACCGGGCTCTCCCACAATAGTGACTCTCAAGCCTACTTCAGTAGGTTCTCCCCTCCCCCCAGTCATCTAAAAACCTTCAGTACCTGATCAGCCTTTCTTTGCCTTGTTACCTCATGATCTTCATTCCATGTTCCCCTTCATCCTAAAGTCACCCCCACTGACATCCCTCTCGGCACCCAGCCCGCCGGTGTCGATCAGCACGTGACTTAAAAGTGCCCCAGCACCATGCTGGCGCCAGGGAGCTAGGGAGACGGATATGAAGGAGCAGTAGTTGGAGGCGTCGGAAGAATTCTGGATTGAGTGTGTGATCCCTGGCTCTGCCGCGGTTGTGCTTTCCGAGCCAGGGAGAAGCCCCTTCCTCACCCTGGACCTCAGCTTCTCCTCTGTGTTGTGATAAGGTTGGGTTCAAGGATCTCCGAGTTCATTTCCAGCTGTGAAATTCTGCAATCCTCAGTCAAGATAATCCTGGTTTGCAATCATTTTTGAGCCCTTCCCTAGGAGTTTACTCTTGTATCCTCACCCCAGGGTCCACCTGCTTT